ATTTTTTTGTCTAGTCTATTTAGCGAACAAGTGTTTATTTTAATTAAAAATCAATCTGATATTTTTTAAAATAAATGATTGTTTTAGAAGTTATTTATTTTAAGAATATTTTTAAGTTAAACCTGTTCAGTTTCTTTATTTTTAGTTTCTTGGTACAATAGTGTAAATATTGTGAGAGATAATCTTATTTAAGACTAATAAGTCTATTTTAATTTTTTAAATATTAATATAGTTGTATATTCTGAACTTGAAATTATTTTTAAATTATAAAAGGTATAAAGTGAAAATAAATAATAAGTTAAGAAAGAACGTTGAATTATAGATGTTTTTTTTGCTAAAGGATTACAAAATCTTAGATTGATTAAAAAATAATTTAGGTTGAGATCCATTTTTAAGTCAATATATATGAATTATATTGACTTACTTATTCTCAAAAAAATGTCAATCATCTTCCTGCGTCTACTTATTCTCAAATAAACATTTTACCTTTAACTTATTATATAAACTTTAAATCAACTGAAAAACAATAACTAAAAAAAAAGATTTTTTTTTAACTAAGAACTAAAATCAAATTACGCCAATTTTACAAAGATTAAACATATATTTTAATTTGATTATTTTTATAGAATATAAAATGTTAGATTATTAAGCATAAAAAAATTACGTGATTTTTTATTCAAATGTAAATTATCCAAATCACTAATTAGGTTAATCTTAGTTCATTTTTAGGGATTTTATGAGTTATCTTTTAAAGAGTAGTTAATTGCTTCTACAAATTAAAACTAAAAGGACTTAGTTTGTCTTTTCTTTAATTGGACCGTTTCACCATCTTACACAAATACGTCTACACTTTTCGATAAAATTACATACTGTAATAAATAAATAAATAAATAAATATATATATATATATATATAGTTGTTTTTTATTTATTTATTTTATTCAATTTAATCCCTGTATTAATTAATAAAAAAATTCCTTAGTTTTTAAAATGTAACAACGTGGCTCTTTCAATTTTCAATCAAGTCCTTCAATCTTTCATTGTTTAAAATAATGTTATTAGTTTTATAAATGATCATTATGTTAGGATATAAATAACATTAATTTTTAAATAAAAAATTTCAATAGTTAACTTACTGCTAATTACATGAAAAGTTGTCATTGTTGCAATTTTTAATCATTCAAATTAGATTGAATTTTGTGTTGTTAATGAGCTATGGGACATCTAGTGCCCTCAAAATTTTAAATTTTAAACTTTCTTAATTTTAATATATAATTTATAATTTTTATTTTATGATTTTGAAAAAAATATTTTCTTTATTTTGAACCCTAATCAGTAATACTGCCTCCCCTCAGCTTCTCATAATGGGATCAAACGAAATTAAATAAATAAATAATAAAAGTTAAAAAAAAGTTAATTAAGCTTATATAGATTTAATTAACCTTTTCTCCTATTATATATGTTATTATTGTTACCATAAAGTTAGTAATCTTAAAAGTTTAATGTTGTTAAATAAATGTTATATTATTGATGATAGTTTTTTTAATAAATTACAAGTTTTCATTGCTATTGAGTCACTAGGCCACAAAAAGCAATTACATTTATGTAGTGAAAAGAGTTTCTAGGGTAGGTCGCATCGCAGCTATGTTAAAGAAACTTAAATTAAACCTATAAGTGACATATAATTTTGAATAGTTTGCATGTTATGTTAAAACTTTATTATTTATATAAATTTTAAACACTTATCCGCAAACAATTTGGTATCAAGGTTTTATTAAAAATAAAAGTAAATATTTTATTATAAATTCTATATTTAAATTATTTTAAAATAAAGAAAATTACATAGAAAAAAATTTATTTAGATAAACAAATCTAATTAAATTTTAAACGTAGTATTTATAATAAATATTTAATTTAATTTTTAAATAATTCTGGTTAAAATGTTTTAAATGTTGTTAATGTTAGTTTTATTTATATAATATAAAAGAAAAACCATAATTTGAAGTAGGAGGAGGAATAAAGACAAAGCATGCGTAGGAGGAAGCACAATGCTGAGCGCATGCTAGACAACACACGGACCCACCGAAACTCTGACCGCGATATTCCCACCCTCACCACCTCCATTTTCATGCACAGATATAATATTCGTACAGTTTTTAACACAAGAATTAACAAATGGAGAATGAAAATTAATATGTCAATTAATAATTATTTTTGTTTTAGTAATTTTAAAAAAATTCATACAACTCATTTTTCGTTGTTTTTTTTTTTGTTTTTTTCAAGTTTCTTAACAAATATTTTTAAACAGGTCAATTAAACTTCTTCGAACAAAAAATTGTTACAAATAACCACTATTTTACGGAATTTGCAATCATGTATTAAATTAACAATAAAATAGTATACAATATTAAAAAACAACAAGAATTTGTGTGCAAAATTCACCTGTGTAAGGGTTTCTTCTATATTTATAAATTTAAATATTACTCCATATGTTTACATCACGTTTATAAAATTTAAGATTATACTAATTATTTTTTTTATTAATTATATTTTTTATTTTTTGATTATATTTATTATATATAGAAAAAATAATAAATGGTTGAAAAATATTTTAATCGAAAATAATATTAAATTAATAAAGATATTAATAAAAAAATTAATAAATTTATTAAAAATAATAAAAATTAATGTTTATTTTTATCTTAATAACCTAATCTTAAATATGATATGTTTTAAACAGAGATACTATTAATTAACTATTAACATTATTTGTCCTCATTTTCTTATACTTTTTTTCACAATATTAAATATTTGTGATAAATGCATTCTGGATGGGGCAAACACTTGCATATGGTTAATTGATTTATTCTCGCTCAAATGAGCTAAATTAACTTATAATTTTTATTTAAAATTATTTTAATTTATTTTAAGATAATATATATCTTAGAAACACTACAAAAAAACTTATTATCTACAAAATATTACCTACGGATAAAAATCCATAGGTAAATTTTACATTACCTACGGATAAAAATCCGTAGGTAAATTGTACATTACCTACGGATATTACTATCCGCAGGTAAATTATATTAAATTAAAAGAATTGTCACTAAAAAGAATTGAACCCATTATTTTAAAGTTGAAAATCGATACTCCAACCACTAAGCTATTAGGATATTCTAATAATAATTTACAAATAAATTATAGTTATATTTATTCGTGTAAATATATAAATATATAAATATATAAATATATAAATATATAAATATATAAATATATAAATATATAAATATATAAATATATAAATATATAAATATATCAATATATCAATATATAAATATATCAAAATATAAATATATCAAAATATAAATATATTTATATTTGTATATATTTTATATTTATATATATTTTATATTTATATATTTACACATATAAATATAAATATAATTTATTTGTAAGTTATTATCAAAATATTCTAATAGTTTAGTAGTTGGAGTATCGCCTCTAACTTTGAGTGACTGGGTTCAATCCTGCTAATGACAATTTCCTTAATCTTAATAATAATTCAAAGTTCCATAATTATAATAAATATTATATTTTATTTAGGTAAATTACCTATGAGCGAATTACATACGAATTTCTATTAAAAGCTTTCTTATTAGAAAAGTAACTAGAATTTAATTTTGAATTATATGTTTAGGTAAGACCTTACTAAATAAGATTATTATTAAAGAAATTATATTTATATATATATATATATATATATATATATTATTATGAAGTAAAATATTTTAAAAGAATGTAAAGTAACCGAGAATATGAGTTTGAAAGAATATTGTTTAAACATTAAAATCAGCTGCAAATATAAACAGAGAATTTAAGTTTTAATATCCGTTTGTTTCTCGGTTTTGAGAACATTTTTGTTATAAAAAATATATTTGATAATAGTTTTTGAAATCTATAATACTTATACAAATACCCTTGTTAGGATTTTTTTTTGCAAGAACAGTTTTTGAAATCTACAATATTTGTACGAAGGCCCTTATCTATTAATTTTTCTTGAAACCATAAAATATCATAACTTGCCCTGGATAGTGGAGTAGAAAGTAAAAAGGAAAAAAAAATAAAAGGTAAAAAGTGTGATGATTTTTTGGGATGTTGGAAGAAAAAAAGAGAGAGTTAAAAATACATAAATATCCCCAATGGATGAAAAGGTAGACTAAGTAAAGTTAGGGTAATTTAGTCATTTTATTATAAAAGTTATTTTTCTTCCAAATTTGAAAGTTGACATATTAATGGTGGGTCACAAATTTTCTTCTTCCTTTCCTTTTTAACTGATACCAAACAATAATAATAATAATCACTAATTACTTTTCTCTCTTTTTTTTTTCTTTCTATTTCTTAAATCATTAGATTTCCAATTATACCCTAGTGTCCAAAACAATATTAGTCTGTTTTTCATCCTCAAAGGAATAAAACTGATGCAGATAAATTTTTGCATACATATTCTGTCAGAATATCTCCAAGTGGATTGTAAACATCAAAAGCTAAGAAAGAAGTAGGTATGAAGAAATAAAGCAGTGGAATGTTCCAACATGCATGCTGAATGAAAAGGGCACATGCTAAGGTTTCTTTTACTCAAAACTTAAAAGAATACAACATTTAACCAGGAATAACAGTAAGGTCGTGGAAGATCACTATTTTGAGCTGTAGCTAGGCGCTAGAGGACTCATTAAGCCACATATAGCATAGTATGTGTTTGTGATAATTTAAATGTTAAACCACTTTGGTCCTGAACTCATATTGGGCGCATGAATCTTAATTTACACTGACACTCCGCACTCGTGTCTGATGGGGCAGAGAGATTCTAAATTCTCACTCCTCCGCGCATTTTCTTTTACAAATTAAAATTACATACATGAATATGATCATGTCTCAACATCCATAAAACATTTATGCAGTTACTACCAATGCAACAATTAACCCTACTCATGGATCCCTTCATTTTTCAAATACGCATATCCCAATGTCACAGTCTGATGAACTTGTATTTAAAAACGGGTTGAACTTGTTCTTTTCATTTTCCCTAGTATTCTGATGTAGCAGAAATGCCATTTCTGAGCTGGTGTGAGTTGCAAAGCTTGTCACCGCTTCTGTTTCATGCCTCTCTTCTTGACTCAACTGAGAAGCCACAAACTTGTCAAGTGCTCTCCAGTCAGTCACTTTCTTTGTGTTGGATAATCCCTTTTGATAATCATCTTCGTTGTTTATATTGTCTGATATTAGGGACACTGAGGTTTGCTTCTTTACTAATGGCATGGAAGGACTTTCTAGCTGAGGAAGCTGCACGTGCACCAGTTGTTCTGCATGCATGAAACTCAAATTATCTGCTTCTATCTCTTGCTTGTACAAGAAATTTTGAGCTGAAATATTATTCCCCTGAGGTTGCCTTAACATACGGTCAATAGGGTCCACCGAATAGTTGACACCACTTGCTTGTTCGTCGTATATGTAGCTTCGATCCCATCCTTCAATAGTCTTCATTTGGCAGTTGGTTCTTTTCTTGAATGCTCTACACACAACCCACCCTTCTTCCTGCACACACTCGATTATATGTTGGAAAGCTAAGATGAGACTTTTATGGACTTGTTTCACTTTCTCTTGAAATGTATTATGTTTGACTTGACTAGGTCAACTAATGTTTTTAAAGGAAAAAAGTGAAAGTTCGTGTTTATCTTTTGATGAGTGTTTTCTCCTATTAGCTTTTGCAAATTTTCAGTCTGTTTGGGAAGAAATAGTAGCCAGTTAATGAATAATTAATGACATCCGGGTAAGAAAACGTTCACTAAAAAAACATTATTGTTGCTTATTACATGTTAATTATGTCTCAGAATGATATAAGTCTTTTTTGGTTCTTTATCTGTTCCCCATTTATGTCTTCTTAATTAAAAATAGATATATATTAGCATAATTATTAGTTTTTTCTGGCTGATATGTCATTTTTTCAACCGGAAGAGAAAAGATGCAAAAAGGACATGTGGTTTGAATCCAGTACTTGTTTGAATTCAAAACAAGAATAACCCAAAAAAATTTACAAGTTGTTTGAGATAGAATTTTCGCTCTGTAGAGTTTTCCTTCGATGCTACTTGTTACATATAGGTTTCGGTGAGTTTGAGGAAAGAAATTTTCTTATTTTTTGATAAGAACAATTTATGTCGGTAAATAAATAATTATTAAACAACATAATAAACAACAAAACACCTTTGTTCATTAAAATTTCTTTTACCATAGAAAGGTAAGAAAAGAAGATGGGTTTTGACGTTTGACAAGAAAAATGACAGAGAATTAAAAGTCCATCAGAAAAGAAAAAGAAAAAAAAGTTCAATTATACGCTTTTGAAAGAAGTGACTTTTGACTTCTTGTTGGTAAAAGTTCTGTAGAAATAGGTAGAAAGCTTGTACGTACCTTGAATGTTCAGTTAGTGATCTACGAAAGCAAACTTGTTTGGGTGTATATTAAATATTAAAATTGGTTTAGGGGAACGAATCAAGTGCTTAATCTGCATTGGTACAGAAAAGAAGGCACATGAAACTAAACTAACTTGAGAAGGGTCGTTTCGGGTGAAGAAATAACTTGGAAGTGATGAATTAACAGAGACTAAACCAAGCTAGGAATATTGCTCCATCCCAAATTTAAAAAACTTTCCTTGTTTGCGAGTGTGAATAGGACAAGGATAGGTTAGTGAAATATGTGATAATTATGTATAATTGACTAGATGGAGGGCCATCTAAAGCCACTCATCATCGAGTGTGAACTTATAACATCTCAAATTCAACCCATAAAACAAGAAAATAATTACTAGTATGTAGTTTAGGAAGCAACAATTGACACAATTAATGCGTAAAAGGGTATATGGTAATGGTAGTATAAAGATATACTTGCCTGTGGAGGTCCATTCTCGACGGTTTCGAGCCTATACTCGTGCATGATCCAATCAGTTTTTTGTCCATTAGGGGCTCTTCCTTTGTAGAAAACGAGGGTCTTTCTCATGCCAATGAGGTTGGTCCTTTCGTACACTGATTTGTCTCTTCCTGTCGCCTTCCAAAACCCTGCCATGGTAGCTCTGTTGGTTCTTGTCCCAGTTGGATACTTCTTATCTTTGTGGCTGAAGAAATACCACTCATTCTGCTCCTCATACCCAATCCTGCATCTCTCTGCCAAACTCAAATCATTCACAACCATGCTTCAAAATTGACAAAAAACAACATCAAAGATCTAGCCAGACAAGACTTCTTCAACAAAAGCTTTATCAATGACACCCAAAACCCTACTTCGACTCACAAAAAGAACTGAACAATGTGTACGTGGGTGTTTGGGAATAGTTTGTTGTTGCTAAGAAATAATCGTTTTTCTCCTCTTAAAGTATATTAGGCTGATACAAATGGAAGATTGTTTCTCTGAAATGAATTGAAGTAATTAAACATGAAGCATATAATGCATTATACTTCGTAAGATATAATTTAGCAATACTAGCATAGGTAATGTATGAATATGTTCATGTGTGTATGCATACATACCTTGGAGATCCCATGGTTCAATACGATATAGGTCTATTTCTTTGATAACGTCAAGATCAATCTTCTGAGAAGCAACTTTCTTCCTGAGGTAATAACCCACAAGTTCTTCATCTGTTGGGTGGAACCGAAAGCCCGGTGGGACACATGACTCCATCATATCAATCACTGGAACTGCATCAAATTCACCACCACCACCACCATTAATACCTTCCACCCTTGATTTTCTCCATCATGTATAAATTATAAGCATGAAGAAACAAATCTATATATGTGTGTATGAATGTGTTTGTGAGAGAGAAGAGAGAGAGGGCGAAAGAAGAGAACCAAAGGGAAAACACTCCAGTAACCAAAAAGCTAAAAAGGCAAACCCCAAGAAAAGGAAATATATAATAGGAGTCCTCTTGGTGAAAAGGTGACAAGTGCTATCAGAGATAACCATCATCTCATTTGGTGGAGAGCAATACTCAAGGAATTGAATTGAAAAGGAAATAAAAATAAGCGCGTGTTATAAACAAAAACCCATAATTTGAGAAACAATGATTAATTTCTTCCCTGGGTACACAGAGAAAGGAAATAACCAAATCATGAGAGTTAGGTTTTGATGAAAACCATGAGGAGTTGGAGCTTAGACCTCTGCTTGTGAAGGGTCTGCGAGAAACGGACAACTAGAGGTTTGTGCTAATCATGCTGTCTTGCGTTGGTGAATGGTGCGAATGATTCATCAAGAACGGGGTTTCCCAATCCACGTTACCATTCATAATTATACATATTCCCAAATAATCACATCAAATTATATTCTAAATTTGTAAATAAATAACTCTCAACAAACCATTTTTCATCTAAATTTGCAAGATCTACTTTTTTTTTTTGTTTAAAAACACTAAAACTATATAGTAATGATATTTCTACACTTGTGCTTTTCATGGTAAAAAGGTGGTGTAAGAAAATTTAAGCAGCAGTAGAAGTAGATATTATGAGTGAAAGTAAAGAAAGAGAATGTTGTAAAGGGTAGATGAGATGACGTTATCACAAATCGGGCACGCGTTTGGTCGAAAGCTAAAAGCTGGAGGGACAAAAAGAGAGGCACCGGTCTATTGGATCAAGGCCTGCCACGGGCGAAGGGATAATAATAAAAAGAAAAGGGAAAAAGTTAAGGATAGATAGATAGAAAGAACACAACACAAGCACAGTAGCCATTAGCCAAAGTCTGTCTCGTTGTGGAACCTGGCCCTCTGACTCTGTTGTCCCTTTGTCGAGAATTTTCACAGCACACATCAGTCTTCAACGACAACTTTTCGGGTACCCTACCCTTACCCTTTGCCCTACGTCCTCTCTTTTTGGGTTTTCATCACCCTATTTTTCATCATACAGTTCAACACTGATTTCTCTGTACATATATTAACTAGGGGAACCAGATTTGGGAGAATGTATATAGCAAAGATTTAGACATCGATAATATAGAGCATAGCGTGCAGTATTAATTAATGTTATTATTCAGCACTGATTAATTATACAATAGTTCAGAATGGACGAACTATGCACAGGAAAGAGCACACACTGATGACAGCAAACTTAGATGAGAAAATAAACCAAAACAAATAATTATAAGCAGAAGGAAAAAAAAATGCATTAATTGTTTGTTGAAGGATAGATTAAGTTGGTTGTTGTTCATGTGATGTTTTGGATTTGGCATGCAGAGATAGTAATCAGCTGACCTGATAATCAGTGTTAGTGTTAAAGAGAAGTGCAATGAGGAAGAAGTGGACAAAATTAATGATGATGATGATGAGGTGAAGGAGAAAGTAAGAAGATGAATATAGAACTATGAGGGAGAGAACAACATGATGAGAGAGAGTGAGAAGAAAAACTGTGTTGGGAGAGAGAGAGGAATGGAAAGGGTATATAATCCATATATAAAAGAGAGGAAGGACCACTGAGTTGCGCATGGCTTGATAGGTGACGTCATTTCCTAGCTTCCTACCCCATTTTCTTTCCTCTTTTTGGTCATGTTTTTGTTTCTTTTCTTTTCTTTCTTGTTATTTTTGTTTTACCTTGGCCAAAACACAGGTTTCTTTCCTCTCCTTCTCACCCACGTTACCTATTTATTTCACTCTCTCAGTTGATTTTGTTTTTAACTGCTGTTAAGTATGGTAGACTCAAAGTTCACAGAAACTTGGTATCTTGCTGGCCATGATAAGGGGAATATGGTGGAGTCTTCATTTTCATATATTTTCAGTTATTAAAACTGAACTTCAAGCATACCACTCTATATATCATGGAACTGAACTTGAAACCTTCCATTAACATGTATCAATTTACTATGTACCATTCACAGTGCTTTTACCATTCTTCTAAGTAAATCATATCATTTCCTCTTAAGATCTAAAAACTTATTAAATTAGTTTTTTTTTCCTTGTAAAAAATGTTACTTGGTTGATCCCACCTTTACTCTTCTACGATCATTAATTAGTTTTACTTAGTAATAATAAGTTTGCTTAAACATGCCTATTTGTTTTAAGTTTATATTTTTAGTTTTGTTTATTATTTTGACCATAATTTTTTTTATATGATTTATTTTTTTCAATCCCAACTTGCATTTTATTTTATATTTTTGGGGTCATCCAATGATATAGAATATGTTGATTTAGAATTCTATTTTATTGTTTACAATTTTTAAAATTTGAAACAAATTTTGCTTAAAATTTTATAAATAACTTATAAGAATTTAATTTTTATTTTTATTAGCTTATCTTTTTAATTGAACTCATTAATTTAATTAGAGTTCAAATTTATCTTTTCTTTACCTCATTCTCATGACTCTCTCTTTCTAATCCAAATGTTTATATACTTTTTTTTCAATGAATAACTAAACAAGTCGATTTCTCGTTTTAAATTTATTCTTCTTTTTTCTAATCTTAATTTTATATATTGTGATATCAATTTGTGATGTTGTATTTAATAATTAATTAAATCTTGATTTGATATTTAAATACCAATTAAATTAAATAATATTAAAATTTAATTCGTATAATCGATTTAATTGATTAATTAAATTGGTTTATTATTTAAATTTATATTAAAATCTTAAACAATTATGATAAGATGATTGTTTAATTTAGATAAACTGTTTTTAATTTTTACGTCTAAATTCATTCTAATTCTGTTTTATGAATAAATATTAAGAATTTGGTACATTTTGACATGTGTAATAGAGAGGAATGATCTATATTTATATTTTATATTAGAAAATCTTTTAATTAAACTTAATATTTCTTATTTCATGAACTATCAATCTCTATGCAAGCGTAAAATTTTTATTAGTTTGTGGTTTTTAAGTTCTGATTCCATACATATGTAAGAGAATAAAATAAAAATATATTATATATGAAGAATAAATCGAGATCGTGTTACGGATCTAATAATTAATAACGTATCTAATTAAGAACGAATAAGAGAGTAACTAACAAAGATCAAATTGTTAATATTATAAATGTATAGAATCAATTTAATAAGTTTTTTATGCATACAAACAATTAATATTGTGGGGTAAACTAAAGGATAACGGGATTATTTACATGTCTTGTGAATGTTTTTTCTCGTGCTTTTCCATTTTTATAAAGCCAAAAGTGTAGCAAGTAGAATTTCGAATGAGGAAATGGAAAATTGAGCAGAGCTTTTGCCTCCACCTTGACGTAGAAGATAAAAATTTAGACAAAACAAATAAAAGACTTAAAACAAAATCTTTCCAACAACGACATCATCTCCCATTCTTTACCACTCAACTAAAACTGGACGGTTAAATCATAGCTTACAAATATAAATAAATCTTTTCATATAAATTAATTTTATCAAGTTTAATTATATTTATATTTATCTTTTAAATATCATATCCGAATTTATTTTAATAAAACTTTTTGGATTCATAGTATTATTTCCAATTGTATCATTTATAAATATTCAATTTCACCCTATACTTAAACAAATTATAATACATAAGTATAATATAAATTTTATTAAATTGAATAGTTAATTTTGTAATATTGAGTAAAGTTAATATTCACTTTTTTAATGTGGAGGAAGATTTGATAATCTTTTTTTCTTAATTTATATGTTAATTATTATTATCCTAATCGTAATATCTATTTTAATTTCATGTAATTTACATATGTTTTAAATACCATATTATACATTCAATATTAAGTGATGTGATAGATTTTTAAATAAGTTTTAAATTATATGATTTGGAAGGTTGAATCTCACAATCACTTAAAAATTAAAATTAATAATAATTTAAATACTTTTTTTTCTCAACCTGATTAGATATTGGTGCATTTAGGAAAATACGTGCCTCAATTGGTCACAAAATTGCAAAATAGGAATAAAGGGAAGCCAAACGCATGCACCAAGCTTTGTTTAGTGCTCAGTGAAATCACATCTTTTACGCAAAATCATTGCTCATTAGTACTCATTTTTTAATCATAATATTTATGCTGCACGTGTCGTTCTAATATCCATTTACGAACTTTTTTTTACCTTCTCATGTTCCCATTCGTAACTTCTAAACTTTTTATTTACTTATTATTATCTTATATCTTTTTTTCTTTTTAATTTTTGGAGCACTTTTTTCATATATAATGGAAGTTCAGATAATGTTAAATAAAGTTAAGAGAAATTCAAGCAAAGTGATTAAAGAATTGAATCTCAGAAAAAAAAACAACTTTATATTTTTCTTTATGTACTTGTTTAATATATTATATAACCAATAATCTATGTTATTCTTCAGATTGGAATCAACATGTGATTTATTTTTTATTGGTACATTAGTTGTCAAATATTTATTTGTACTACTTAGTCCAAATTTTGATGAAATCAAGTGTTAAGAATTGTTATTTACATTTATAAATTTTTTTAAATTATTTTTTCACTCCTAAATAAACTAAAACAATATTAAAGATATTCAATCTTAAAATTAAAAACTTTCAAGCATAAATTATGATAAAATAATATTGTAAATATAATCATTCTTATATTTAAGTGGAGAGATTTTATTTTATTGTATTCAAATAATACTTAGAAATAAAATATTAAATAATTGAAGAAAAAAATAAAATTTGTATTTATTTATTGTTATATTATCTATTGTTTATAGAAGTTTATTTGTTTGATTTTTTTTATTGGGAAAATTTTTGAATTTGCTTCCAATAGGTGCCTCTATTGTACCTATTATTATTGGATAGAAAATGAATCTGATTTGAGTTTGTTTTGTTGTGTGAAATGAGTTGAATTACCTTGCTTGATCAAGAGCAACAAATTTTGTTGTTGGTGGAAAAAACTAAATTATGTTTTATTGATGAGAAAGTTTCTCTTCTAAAGAAGGAAATTTTTTATTATGAAGCTTAACTATCTAAAACAAATTGGTGTGGATTCTTAATTTTATGTATCTACACCTTATTGAGATTATTAATTATTCGTATTTATTGCACAATTATAAATAATAGTAAGATGTAATATAAATGTTTTTTAAGAGTCATTATCAGCTTGCAACTATCAAGAAAACCTAATATTAAATTACTTAGTAGTTTGAAAAAAAATATATATATATATATATATATATATATATATTTATTTATATATAACTTGAGGCATATCATTCATACACGAGGTTGTTATATTTTTTAAGAACATCTCTAAATTTTTTTTTACAAAATATTTTAAAATAAAATTAAATATTTTATTATAAATCTTATATATTCAAACTCATACATTTAATACAGAAAATGAAAAATGAGTTAAAAAATTATAATTAAAAAAAAAACGAAAATATATGTTACTTAAAATATTAAAAACATAATATAAAGTTTGAATCTAAATTTGTCCTAAAGTTAAATTTTATCACTAATTTTGCTACAAATGTCCTTACTATACTTTCCTTACTTAAGTTGCTAATGATTGCAAAAGGTTTTATACGTTTCTATTGAATATGCATTTCAAATGACATGGATCCATCTTTATCTTATTCCTTAGTTTTTATGTTTGAAAAAATTATAAAATATATTAGAAAGTTACAATCAAACAAATCTATTACAAATTATATTCAAATAATCTTATTTTAAAAATATAATTAAATAAACTTATTTTAAAATTATATTTAAATAATTATATTTTATAGTTATAGTTAAATAATATTTATAAATAATATAATATTTAAAACAGGTAGGATTAAAAATTTTGTCATGAATGTAATGCAAATTTACTGGAGTGGAAGATGGAGACTTTCAATAAAATTTATAACTAATATTAAATTATGTATGATTATATATTTATTATATTCTTATAGTTATTTATTTAATATATATATATATATATATATATATATATAGTACTTTAATTATTTTAATAATTTAAAAGTTAAGATAATAATTTATAATTAAATAATATTTATAAAAAAAAACTCAACTAAAAAAATGCCCCATTTACACCATTTATCAGCCTATTCCTTCTAATTTCATTATCTTCGTTCTTAATATAATAAAAACAGGTTGCAATCACGAAAAAAAAATCTTTTTGATCTTATATATAACCAATCTATAAAAATAATAGGTTTTTAGCTTAATCTAAAGAATTGTTATTTTTTTATCATTTAACTTCATCAATCCATATAAAAAATCATTTTAATTAAGTTAAAAAATATCTTTATATATATATCCATCTTTTAAAATATAAAATATATTTATTATATAATAATAATCATAAATATTTTAATATAATTAAAATAATTTATTTAGTGTTCATACATAGTTAATTATTTTATTAAATTTTTAATTGTCAATAATCTTATAATAGACATTAAATAATATGTATTACATCAAAATTTAATTTTATTAAATATCATAACTAATTATAAATATATTTATTTAAAATCATCACAACAAATTTCTTTAATAAATTTTAGATAATATATAAATATGTTATTTATATATATATGAATTTTGATGAAACTTAAAACTTCCTACTTAACATATGTATATTACTTAACTGTTGATGTATATAACATTAATAAAAAAATTTATAATGATCACTACAAACTTATTAAAAATAATTAATAATATATAAAAAATAAAATTTTTTAATTATATAATATATATTTTTATCATAATAATTATTATATGAAAAATATATTTTGTATTAATTTAATTTATTTTTTATATTTTCTTACACTGATTTGAACTTGTGGAATATAGTTTTAAGCTAGCTAAGCAAAAGCTTACTCTTGATGAACTACATCTAAATTCATGGAATAAAACAACATAGGTCATCATTCGTATAAAATGTATACACATAATTAGTTAAATATAATGAAGAATTAACTAGAATTCTAAGTTCGCATGGGAAGGGTCATATAATAATAATAATAATAATAATAATAATAATAATAATAATAATAATAATAATTATTATTATTATTATTATTATTATTATTATTTATATGAACTGACTAACGGTAAAGCATATATAGATTATATAATCTGCAAAAACATTGATGACCTGGTAATTTACACATTAACATGGTACATGTAATGTAAATCAATGTTGTGTAGTGTAATGTAACAAACAACATCATGGCACAGATAAAACAACTTTATTAGAATTTCACACGTTAGACATTGATGTGGACAGACTTAGTCCACGTAGGACGGCGGTGTGGTGCATGGTCGGCCGTTGGTCGGGAATCATGCGGCGGACCACATCATTGAACTAATAGGAAACCGCATTGTGGACCCCACCACAATCGTTTCTTCTCCATCCTTGTGGTAATCAGCAATCAACTATCTTGGTGAATATTTCTAGAATTTCTCCATTAATATTTTTAGGTGAAAAAAATTTGTTAATGAAGTAAAGTTAATTTATACATCAGTTAAGTTGTGGAAATTATCTTTCATTAATTTTAGAAAAAATTGATTCATTTATCAGTTAATTTTAAATTATAAAAAAAATTATTTTTTATATTTTTTCCGTTTTAATTTATAAAAAAACTTTCCTCCAAATACTCTTGTATTTTTTGTTATTATAATTATGAGTATTTGACTTTTGGTGAATTATTTTATTTTCATAAGTTTTGAGTGTTTTTTAATTGGGTATATCATTACTTTTTTATTTAAAATTTAACCATATTTAAAGTTCTTTACCTTCTTCGAAAATATGTCATGTGAAAATTTAACATAGTTCATTTTCTATATCATATATTGACAAGTTGACAACCACCCATATTCATATCATATCCATCAGATATAGAAAATTATATAAGTGTGGAATAAGACCTTTTCTTATATAAACCTTTTAATTATTAAAAGGTTATATTTAATTCTTTAAGACTCAATTTTAATTTTAAAATTCTCACTATATTAAGTACGATTATCCTGTAATGCATGACCCTGTTAAAAAACTTTGTATTAGAAATGTTATCAAAGATAAGATGTAATAAAATAATGTATTATTGTTGCCATTGACAAGAGAAAAAGGTTGGCAAAAAACATAGCTTGACCGGCTAAAGGAGATCCTTGATGGGTCCTAGAAGGATCTTCACCCTTTTGACACGGACACTGCTCCAAACCCCTTGTATCTCTATCAATTAATTGTACATCTCCCCTTTTATTTTTATGGGATTTTAGTAATGGTAGAGGGTGGTTGGTGAAGAGAGTTCACCATATTCAATTTGAATTCTGGGGCTTTACATGAAAAGCAAGATTAAAAGAAGAAGGAAAATGCGAAATGGGGATCACCAAGACCTTCAACTTCACTCCCTGTTTGTATCTAGGTGTGAGCCACAAGCTTCATCAAAGGGGGGCATGAACCATGATTGCATCCCTTATAGTTCCTAATTCTTTCATTTCAGTGAAAGGACTATAAAAATATGTATGTTTGCTTTCTAGAGCGCAGACCCTAACATGTTACTCAATACACTATGATTAAAACCAATTTTTAGACCCCCTTGATGGGATTTCTCTGTGCCCTTTTCTACACTGTTTGTGGGAGTGAAATTATAAGCATTAATCACCTTGTGATTTTCATTCAATGAGGTGATGATTGATCATCATGTTCATCAAGAGTGGGCATTCCTGTTCCGAATGTCTATTACACTCAGATCTTTAAAGTTGGATTGATTGCAAATCCCACCAATGTTATGGCAAACCAAGACATCATGTTGTGCCGATCGAGGTTTCTTCTGGATATTTCAGAATGATTATAGGATGAGCTAGTATTTGGAGTAGAATTATGGACCAAAGTTTACCAATGGTGTTAAAAGGAGGTGTAAGACGTGTTATCATATGCTAAGGTTTCATTCAATACATTATAGTCACTGATTAAACTATACTGAAACAATGCATCCTATCATAATTCATTCCCTAAATATGCCATCTTCTAGAGTCCCAGTCACAAATTAACCTTCATTCAACTGGAAATTACAAAGCACACATGTTGTACCAAATGTCATATTCGATTTGGTTTGTCCTCAACAACAATTTGGTATAGGAAAACAGACAAGTACATGAATTGAAAATGATGGGAAATTAAGTAAATCATTTGAAGAACTTTCCAAGCATGTAGCAAGTTGGCCACAAGGGTCCTGATGAGATGATAGTGACTGAATTTCAAAGAAGCTCCTGAAATGGATCCACTGTTACTTCTCCTGTGCAAACTCTCCTCTTTTAGTTATTAGATACATTGTCATTTTCTCCATTGATTAGGATATTTTCTTCTGTGCTACTCTGTCAAAAAGGTATAATTCACCTTCAGTTACCTTTTGTTTTTTCTACTTTGATCGACATAAATTTACAGTCAACACTCATAATTAATGGAAGACTTGAGTTTGATAGCTTAACTGCAGAAAGAGTATATATGATTACAAGATGGGAAACTGAATGCATAGTTTTGAACAATCAAAGAACTATGCTATATATAAAGCAAATGGAATGGAACAAGTTCTATGTCATCTGAATGGAGCAAAAGCTTTGATAAACCTAGCTGAGGCCATGTTCACGTGCATCAAAATCCAAGAGAGCTTAGTAGTTATGCCATTGATGTAGCGTAATAGAAACTAAAATACTATGTGACGACAACTTCCAAGAATTTTGTGATGAAAACTTGATCATTTATGAAGGGAAGATAAATTTTAAGTATAATTTAACTATCTTCGTCTAATTTAATGTTTTTATTTAGTTGTACAATTTTCATATGATTATTATAACCTAGAACGAAAATGATTAATTAGTTGACAAGTGGGACGCCAAACAACAATTTAATATATTAATTAAATAATAAAATTTATTATTTTGCTAGTTTTTTAGTTGTTAAATGTATCATTGAGTTGTCAGTTTATCAGAATCTAATTTAAAAATTGTAATTCTTTAATATGAAATTAAATATTTTAAATTTAAATCATAAATTATTAATATTTTTCACATATATTTTTTATATTTCTTGTACTCATCGTGTTTTTTTATTTTCCAATTTTTCCATCAATAAGTTGATTATATTTTTTTCTCACATTTTGCTCCTCCACTTTTTATTAATATCTCTAATCAATTTGATTTTTTTTTTATATTTTAACCAATCTCACAAACATAAAATTAACTTTTTTTATTTGTCTCTAAATATTTTATATCAATTTTAAAAATACTTATTACTATTTTATTTATAATTTACTTTTATTAAGTTTTATTACGTTATTTTTTTTTAATTTTCTATTTGTCATATATTAAATTTATTTTAATAAAATAATTATATTATTAAGGATTAAAAAATGATAACTAATTTTTTTTATTTTACATAACTAAATAAAAATTAATTTATTAAATATTTGTTATAAATTATATATTTAATATTTGTTAAACTTTTATATTAACACTTTCATATGAAGGGATTGAATATGTGAGGGTTTTAAAATACCTCATGTTACCTCTTTAACCAATTTAGCTATACCTCATTCATAATTGATCCTGTAATATATATATATATATATATATATATATATATATATATATATATATATATATATATATATATATATATATATATATATATATATATATATATATATATGTGTGTGTGTGTGTGTGTGTGTGTGAGCAGATTTATTTATTAGCAAATTTGAAAATTTTTGTTTTAAGCCCTATAATATTAAAAAAAAAAGAGAGATTCAATTAGGTTAAGAAGAATAGGTTCGAACACTTAATTCACTTTTAAAATATAAATTTAACCAATTTTGAAATACGTGTTCCTTGAATGTCGTTTCATTTATATCGAAATTTTGAAAAATTAAACATTATTAAAAAAAATGTTATAACATTTACCCATATTGTAAAAAGAATCATAGATTAAAATATTGATTAATGTAAAATTACTTTGTAAAAGCGTAAAGAACCTTTTAAATAACATAAAATTTCATTAATGTTATCATTTGTTCACTTCAATAAGTATAATTATCATTAATACGTCTTAAATTAGATAATTCAACAATTATATTGAATCTAATCTAATTTGATATATTAAATTAAGTTTTCTTAATTGAGTGAATTTTAATCTAATTTAAATTAACGCAAATTCTTATAAATTAAATAATAAAATTCATATATTAAATTTGAATTTTACTTTATCAAAATTAAATAACAAAATTTTATTATACTAATTTACTCGTAATAATTACAGTGGCACAAGGCACAAATAAATAATGCCTATTGTAATGATTTGGTGAAAGTGTCCATTGAACTTTTATCATACACCTTTCAAACGTGTTGCGAATGCTACTTCTTCAATCGGATGACACTTGTCACCATACACATTATCGGAACTCATAGCAAGAAAAATAAATATTTATTCATTTTATGCTGTAAATGTTTAATTTGTTCATGCTAAAATTATATAAATTCAATGATGAAAGCAAAAAAAGTGGTTTCAAAGTGAATTTCTTGTATGATTGTTTGGTTCATTCTATTAGGAAGCTAACAACCACACTGCTTTAAAACTAAGTTATCTATTGATAAAATAAAAACAAATATTAACATTTTTGTATATCACATGTGATTCAATGTCACGAGTAGAACAAATAAATATAAATATAGACATTTTCTATTTCTAAAAAGAATTTGTTCCATCTCCAAAGAATTTAAACACACAAACAGTTTATAATTTTACATTTTTAAATCATATTATTTAATTACACACAACATTAAATTTATATATTGTATCAATGAATAAGCAGTCTTATTCGTAATATTATTGAATTGTAGGTTCAAATAAATTATTTGATAAGAATTTTGGGTAAAAAGATAAGAATAAACTCTTCTCACTCCATTCTAACTAATTTCACAAAAGCTCATGTTCTCTTTTAGAGAAAGTAAACTTTTGAAATTAAATTTAAAATTAACGATAACTAATATTCTCGTTTTGAAATTATTATTATTATTATTATAATAGTTGGTATTATTGAGATACCCAGAAAATATTTTGGTAAAAGGGTATCAAATTTTATTTCTCACGAGACAAGAAAGTTGTTTTGGTTTGTGATAGAAGAAGTTCATTGAATATTTTTAATAGAATATTCTGGAAAAAAAATATATTCGTATACACAAAACGAAGAACATAACAAACAAATAGCATAAACAAGTATTGATTGGTCACATCGTGAAAGGTTTTACATGTTTGGTCCATTTAATTGAGTGTTTCTTCCTCCATCACACAATTTTCTCACGACAAGTTTGAAATCTACTTTCCAAAATCTAATTAACTCAATCTAAAATAAAAAGTAGGTGATAAGAGAAATATGTAGGGTGTAGAAAGTGAAAATTTCGACCGTCAATAAAAACAGATCATGGTTTGTCAAACCAACCCGAAGCCCAGTTTCTGTTTCCTTTGATGAAGATGGTGGGAGAAATGTGGCCAATTTGAGTTATTTCCAACAAACTATATCATCTCATTTCATATAATTTTTTATTTAAATATATTTTTAATTATCAAAATTAAAGTTTCTAAAATTGAATTTTTTTAATATCTAATTTGAAATTGCTTTAAGATTTTGCTTAACAATTGTAAATTATCATTACTTATATTGATTGTGTTCTTAAAATTAAAAACTTATTTCCTATATTTTTCTTTAAATGTTCATTTTAACATTTAGGTATATAAACTAAAATCAAGACTAAAAAATTAATTTTAAACATGAAAGACCCAAATTTACCTTAGACATAAAATATATTTAAACTTATTTTGTGGTTTAATTTTTTTTTCTCTTTAAATTTTGTTCAAACTTCAGCTTTAGTTTCTCGAGATTTGTTTTTGTCTATTTTTATAGTCTTACTAATTTAAAAATGTTTTATTTACTCTTGGTTCTTGAGTTGTAGAGGGAGAAAAGGTGGATTGGAATGTATATTTAAAAGCTAGAGAACACTAAAACATGTACATGACAATGTAATGCAATGCAAGTTCATGTTTTAACTTTTACACCAATCGCTCATGGCGAGTTCTTTCTTGTTTTGTCCTCAAACAAAATCAACCATGTTTGTTCTAAGATTTAGCTACACACGCACACACAAAATGTACATGAATGTTTGCTTTGTAAGAATAAGAACATCAAGATATCAAATAAAGTATAAGAGATAACAATTAATAATATTTATTATTTTCAATTAGATAAATAAATAAGTCCTTGCAAAAATGGACAAAAAAATATAAAGAGAATGATTATTAATTAGCAGAAAAGCCAAATCTAATTTTTCCTTAATCTTTTAAAACTATTAAATATCAAACACAATTTTGTTAAGGTGTTAGCAAGCTAACATTTTATAATGTAATAAATTATAATTATTAAATTTAAAAACAAAATTACTAAAAAAGAGTATTTAATAGTAATTTTTATTTCTATTATTGATGTGTGTTGAAAGAGACGTTACCAAAAGACAAAGCAGAGAAGGAAGAAGTAAAAAAAAGAGAAACAGAGAGAACAAGTACCAATCAAAAGAACGAACAAGCGCAAGAGAAATCCCTTTCTCTCCGAACAAATCCCAAATGGCTGCCTTCAGCGGCGACGAAACCGCTCCTTTCTTTGGCTTCCTCGGAGCCGCCGCCGCCCTCGTTTTTTCCTGTACTCTCGTCAATATTTTTTCTTCTTTTGTTTATCATCATTTCGATTCGCGATGTCGTTTATCTGAATTTTTGGGCCGTTTCAGGCATGGGTGCGGCGTACGGCACCGCGAAGAGCGGCGTGGGGGTGGCGTCGATGGGAGTGATGAGACCGGAGCTGGTGATGAAATCGATCGTTCCGGTTGTGATGGCTGGTGTGTTGGGGATCTACGGTTTGATCATTGCGGTTATCATAAGCACGGGCATTAACCCTAAGGCCAAATCCTATTACCTCTTCGACGGTTACGCGCACCTCTCTTCGGGTCTCGCTTGTGGCCTCGCTGGCCTCTCCGCCGGCATGGCCATCGGAATCGTTGGCGACGCCGGTGTCAGGTATTCATCTTCTCAACCCTTCCCTTTCCATCATAAACTGTTCTTCCTGTTTTTCGAATCGAGTTATTGCCTCTGTTTGCTTGTTAATTAGTTAGTTATCAAATACTACGCACGTGTGATGCCGGGGGAGGGGGATATATAAAGTTTCAGTTGGCATCGGTTTTGTGATGCTGTGATTGATTTACAACTTGTAACACTACAATGAGGAATCAAGAAACAACTATTTGAGCCTTCTTTGTTAGCCTGCTTGCAAGTGTTCAGTGATGAATGTGTCTCATTGTTTTTTATTATTGATTTTATTACAATTTCTGAATTTATTATTGCTACTTCTAGTATTGTCACGGTTGTGCGATTTGTGTTTGGATGTATTTGTTCTAATCGCAAGTTTGTAGTAAGAATAAGTGCAATATTTTTTATCAAATGCAAAAGCTATCTAAAGATGTTTCAACTTAAAATCAATTCTTAGACCCATAATCAATTCCTCCCCGTGGAAACTGTGAAAATCACATTAGATGGCATTTCAACTTGATTTTGAATATGTACTCCATGTGAATCCACATAGCTTTGGTACCTGATGTGGCATTTTGATCCTCATCCTTGTGCAACCTACCACTACTTTGGTACCCATCAAAATAACATTTTTCTACTCATCTTTTAGCAAATGTTGTTGATGTTTAGATGTGTGTATTTTCAACTAAGTTTCATTTCCATATGCTGCAATCCTTGAATTCATTACTGAATCCAAAATCACAATGGCCTTTTAAATATTGCAATTTGGAGATATTAAATGTGGTGAAATGTTGAAGACTTATTTAGCATATAATTGGGCAAGAGGAATGTGTGGTCAAACAATTTGTGAGAAATTTCTTTGATCTACTAATTATTGTCTTATGCGTTGAAGATGAATGCTAACCTAGTTGCTAGTGAAAGGTGGAAGATATCTTATTGGGTTGCTAGGATAAAGATTGGGTGTTTCCATGTCTTTATTGTGATAAAATGCATGGACAAGGTAGTGCAGATCCGTAATCACACGTGTGTGTGCTCTGCTGCAAGGAATTGTTAGTTTATTCAGACCCTGGGATGATAGTATGGTGTCTCTAGTTTGGTAAAATTCGATATGGTTAGTTTTAGGTCACACATCACATTATGTTTTAGTTTACTCCTGTTGATTTAGAATTACTAATAATAATTTAGGATTTTAAGCTTCATTTTAGCAAATTGAATTTGAAATGTTGGTAATTCTTTTGCAGAGCAAATGCTCAGCAGCCCAAGCTCTTTGTTGGAATGATTCTCATTCTCATTTTTGCTGAGGCTTTGGCGTTATATGGTCTCATCGTTGGCATCATCCTCTCTTCCCGTGCTGGCCAATCCAGGGCCGATTAATATAAATTTCCTGTTGGATGTGATACACAACCACAGATTGTGAATGTTACTGTGGAGTCCGGCTGGGTAATATTAGTACACTGACTGCTGCTTTGGCTTGCTCATATGAGTCTATTTATGCTCGCATTATAAAATTGAGACTGTCCACGAATAACGTCAGTCAAACTTTTCCTACGCCATAATTTTTTTAATTGTATGTTCAAACCAAACTAGAATAGAGATCTCCATAATAAGACAGATGTATGTTTTGATTCCATTTACTCTCAGTTTTTTTTTTCTACTCTTCAAAACTCCGCCCCCTAAATTTATTCTTATTTTGATTTATTGATGTTTAGCTGTCGAAATGGGTTTCTTTACCATTTTAATTAACATGATAGTACTCTTGCTCATATTTGGTGCGAAGTAAATATTATATGATAAGCATTGGAATTCGGGATAAAAAATAAAATTGTTTGATACGTAGTAAATTGATCTGCTAACAGGAATGAAATTAGCAAAAGTGTTAATATTACGTCACACCTTTGTAACTTACATTGCTTGTGCAACTTATCATTATCTTGTCACACTGCTCCTTCCCCTTAACAAGCTTTTCATCTTATGACTTCCTACATGCTCCTTGCTTATGCCAATCTTCCAACATTTTCATACGTGTTTTCTCTGAACCATTGTTATGGTAGTTAGGATTGTAGTTCCATAGAAAGTCCTTATGTCATTCAGAAACTGGTTTTTCTTTCTTTAGAACCTTCTTCCACGTTTGTTGACACAAATTTTTGTATCTGTCTTGGTGGGTACCCAAATAACAGCATAATCCAATCCCTATCTTCAGGAATTATACTCTGTGTAAATCCGAGGTTTTTTAATATGCTTCTGACTTTGTAAGTTTGTTTTCTATCAAGAGGTTAAGTGGTCCATTTGCACATTTTACAAGTTCACGAAAATGGTTCCTTCTGCTCTCTATCAACTTGTACTAGATCACGAATTGACTTTTATATTTATTTATGAAACATGGTTTTCCTTATTAGGTTTTGGACTTCGTTTTTAGTCGACCTCGTTCATTTTCTGATTACGGCTCAGAAATTTTGTCACATGTGATCTGGCATACGGAAAGTGACTCCCCCCTCTGAAGGGTAAAAGAATTGAACAATAACTTGACATTTTTGTAAGTGACACTATTTTGTATTACTTTCTTTGTGTATATTTGATTGCAGTCCTAATTGTTGTAGCTCACTTACTAATACATGTCATCCACATACAACAACATTATCATCAAACCTCTTCTAATACGTACAATGGTCTGAACTCAACCTGTTGTATTTGAGGCTAATAATGAAGGAATCAAATCTCTTGTACCAACATCTTGGCGTTTGCTTTAAACCGTACAAAGATTTGGTCAACCTACAAACCAAGTTTTCTTTTCCTTGTTCTTCAAAGCCTTCTGGTTGGAGCATATAAATTTCTTCTTCAAGTTTTCCATGAAGAAAAACAGTCTTTACATCCTTGTTCAAGATGTAAGTCAAATGCAGCACACATAGCCAACACTACTCTGATAGTGGTAAGTCTAACCACCGGGGAGAATATCTCATTGAAATCAATGACTTCCTTTTGAGCATACCCTTTTATTACCAGTCTTGCATGATATCGTTCCACTTGATCATTACCATCACGTTTGATCTTATAAACCCATTTGTTGCCGATGGCTTTTCGACCTTGTGGAAGTGCAACAAGCTCCCATGTCTTGTTTTTGTGTAAGACTTATATTTCTTCTTGCATTGTTGTCATCCACAGAGAAGCATCTGAACTACTCACAACCTCCTGAAAGGTTGACGATTCTCCCTCTTCTGTTAGAAGACAATATGCATCATGACTTACCATTACATAGTCTGAATGCCAAGATGGTCTCCTTATCTGACGTGTTATTCGTCGAACTTCTGTATCATTGGCCTCTTCTGGTTCTTGTTCCTCATGCTCCAGTTCTGCTTCTAAAGAATCTTCTTCTCCAGACTTTCCATCTATTTGTACAGTAGTAACATCTTTAAAAGTGTTATCATTTACCTGTTTATTTTGCAGTTCATTCTCTGGAAAGATTACGTCTCTGTTGACAATGACCTTGCGGGCAGTGGGATCCCACAGGCCATACCCCTTAACTCCGTCAGCATAGCCCAAAAATATGCATTTTCTGAATTTTGGATCCAACTTTGTTCTTTCTTGGGAGTTGTACATTACGTACACAGGACATCCAAACACATGTAGAGAAGAGTACTCTGCTGGCTTTCCTTTCCACATCTCCATAGGTGTCTTTAAACCAATCACAGTTGATGGAGATTGATTTATCACGTAACAAGTTGTCTTCACTGCTTCTGCCCAAAAAGACTTGATTAATCTTGTTGTTCGCAAGATAGCTCTAGTCCTCTCTAGGAGAGTTCTATTCATCCGCTCTGCTACACCATTTTACTGAGGTGTATGAGCAACCGTGAACTGCCTCCTTATACCCTCCTGCTTGCAGAATGCCAGAAACTCACCATCTGTATATTCTCCTCCATTGTTTGTCCTTAAGCCCTTGATCTTCTTTCCAGTTTCAAGCTCCACTTGTGCTTTGAATTCCTTGGAAACTGGAAACACATCTGACTTTTTCTTGATTGGGTACACCCACAATCTCCTAGAGTAATCATCAATAAATGATACAAAATATTTAGCTCCTCCTAGGGACATTTCCGGTGACTCCCACACATTAGAATGTATCAAGTCAAGTATGTGTTTGCTTCTAGTAGTTGACTTTTCAAATTTCAATCTATGTTGTTTGTTTGTCACACAGTGCTCACAGAAAGGGAAGCTTACCGATGTGAGTCTGGGTAAAAGTTTACGTTCCGCAAGGACCTTCAAGCCTCGTTCTGACATATGACATAGTCTACGATGCCACATTGTTGTTGATTCCTCTTGACTAGCCGATGCAACTGATACATCTCCCTCTTGCAACGTATCTTCCAGAAGCACGTATAAGTTTGCAGCAAACTTCTCTGCTTTCATCACGACTATAGCACATTTTACTACTTTTAAGATCCCACCTTCAATATGAGTCTTGTAACCGAGGTCATCCAATTGTCCAATAGACAATAAATTCTTTCTCAAGCCATTCACATGTCGTACCCCTTGAATTGTGCGAATAGTACCATTGTACATCTTCAATTTGACAGTACCGATTCCAACAATTTCCAAGACATGATTATTACCCATGAACACAGATCCCTCTGAGATAGGTTTATAAGTGCAAAACCAATCTCTCCGTGAAGTTGTGTCATGTTGCTCCCGAATCTATAATCCAAACATCAGTGAGCTGTTTTTCACCTTTGGAACCAATAGCTGCTTCGCTATACAGGATTTCTCCATCATCAAGGTACTCGCAACACATCCTTGAGATGTAGTTGCCTCAGAAGACTTCTCTGCATTTTTCTTCTTCCAACAATCTTTCTCCAAGTGTCCTCTCATGCCACAATAGTAACATTTGAAATTATTCCTTCCTCGAGATTTTGATCTACCATGATTTTGACTCCCACTGGAGTCACGCTCTGTTGATCTTCCTCTCACCATCGTCAAAGCTTCTGTTTGCTTGGAATTTTCCAATCTATCTACCTTATTCTTGTGTCTGGATTCTTCTTCTAGAGTAGCTCCGGCAACATCCTCAAAGCGTAGATTTCCTTCCATATTAGTATTTGTTATGTTGATGATGAGTTGATCGTATGAGTCTAGTAGGCTCTGAAGTAGAAGTTTCGCATGCTCATTTTCAACTATGTTGAAATCTGCTGCTGATAGTTGGACAAATAAGGTGTTCAAATGATTGATGTGATCTGTCATCGATGTGGACTCACTCATCCGAAGAGTGTAGAGTTTTCGCTTCAAGAATATCCTTGTGTGAAGAGACTTCACCTCATAATTTAATGAGAGCATCTCAAATCTCCTTTGTTGTATTCTTTTCCGCAACACTAGATAGTACGGAATCTGCTATTGCTAAATGCAAATTTGTGGTAGCGTTGTCGTCAATTTTCTTCCACTTCTGATCCGTCATTTCTGTAGGTCTTCCTTCAATCGCATCAAGACAATTATCATTTCTCAAAATTGTCTCCATCTTCAATTTTCATAACGAGAAATTGTTCCCGTTGAACTTCTCTATCTCATACTTTGCTGTCATGGTTGTATTTCCGCTTATGCAACTCTCACTTATGAATAGTATTGTCTACTGAAACAATAGTAGTAGACCGAGTATTGTCTACTGGAACAATAGTAGTAGATAATTTTTCTTCCTATTATAAAATTTCTACTTTTGTCTATCAATTTTTCTCTTCTCTATTTTAGTTGAGTTATTGTGCAAGTAGTCTGATACCTAACAGTGGTATCAGAGCCACGTTCTTATTCTGTTGCGCTAGTCACTAAAATAATGTTGGTAAAATTCTTAGTATGCTCTGTGGTTGCGGTTTAATTTGATCTTTCACATCAGAAAAAGAGTTTTTTACTAGAAAATGTGTGGTAGTGTGAAACTGTTGTCTGGGGAAGTTCTGGCTAGGAAAGACCTGGTACTTAAGTGTGTCCATTAGTTACTCACCTCTCTTTCCTGGGAACTTACCTGGTGTACTGGTTCACGGTCTACTACTATTGTTCCAGTAGACAATATTCAGTCTACTACTATTGTTCTAGTAGACAATATTATTCATAAGTGAGAGTTGCCTAAGTGGAAATACAACCATGACAGCAAAGTATGAGATAGAGAAGTTCAACGGGAACAATTTCTCGTTATGAAAATTGAAGATGAAGGCAATTTTGAGAAAGGACAATTGTCTTGATGCAATTGAAGGAAGACCCGCAGAAATGACGGATCAGAAGTGGAAGGAAATTGACGGCAACGCTATCGCAAATTTACATCTAGCAATGACAAATTCCGTACTATCTAGTGTTGCGGAAAAGAATACAACAAAGGAAATTTGGGATGCCCTCATCAAATTATATGAGGT